AACAGGTGGATTCCAGCAGACCTTGAAAGCCTGCGTGCCGTCAAACTAAAAACGTCATGATGTCTAGTGTTAGACAAGCCCTCGCAAGAGGTAATCTTAAAACAAATACTCAAATGATCCTAATTCAATAGGAACTCAGAAAATCTGCTACCAAGACTAGCGGTAAGGTCAGGATAGAGTCCAACCACGGAGCCATGCAGAAGCCAGGGCTAAATGACACCAAGGCCAGAGGAAGCAGGGTTTGCAGACCTGAGAGCAGCCCACAACAGCCTTGCCAAGGTGATGGGAGAGGCTGGGAATAAATTTCCTGATGCCCTTTCTCCTTCCTCCAGTCAGAAGCGAGGAGGCGGTTCTACAGTTGCAAACAGAAGACCTGCAGTCTGTGGCGTGAGGGAAGGCGAGCCACTCTTCAGGTCACTCAGCCCTCCTGGGACCATCTTGCCCCTCTAACAAGTTCCCACACAGAGCTCGCCTCTTTCCTTACCACATGACAAGGTTTCTGATAAAGGACAACAGCCCACACATCTCCCAGGTCAGGCTAAGGAGAGAAAGTTTTGGAGACATTAGTTCAGTATGCAAATGGAATTGAAGGTTTAAGTCTACATGTGTCTTCCCCGCTGGAGATTCTCAACCAGAGGCAATTTTATACCCCTCTCGGACACTAGCAGCACCAGAGATAGTTGGCATTGTCCCAACAGGGAATGGGGGAGTGGGGAGGAGGATGCTGCTGGCATCTTGCAGTGGAAGCCAGGAACGCCACTAAACATCCTATGGTGCACCAGGAATGACTGACCCCGTGTCCGCCACACTGAGCTGGAGTCCAACCTGAGCAGATGCTGCATCTGGACAAGTTCCTGCTGCTGTCAGACCTCTCACTCCCACATTCCCCTGTCCGTCTGGACGGCAAGCTAAGTACAGTGAGCTAAGGACAATTAGTACTTGAGGCTTGCAAGAGCAAAGAGGGAGTGAGTTTGGGATGAGGGAAACAGCTTAACTTTTATTAAGAATGGCCACTGTCAAATTGTCCCATGATTTCTAAGCTTCTAGGGAAGAGCAGCGAGCTGTCCCCACCCTTCAGCTTACAAGCCCTGCCACACCTCAACAGTGACTTTTGCAGGCAAACCTGAAGATATAAAGAAAAGGACCGGCCATGGCAAACATGAAGGAGGCATAGAGGTTGTGTGCAGTCAGGAAGGGAGAGCTGGAAGATTCCAACCGCAGTCAAAAAGGAAAACCAACAACAAGTAAGAGACTGCAGTCCACCCATAGATGCACACGGCCTTTAGTCCTACATTTCCAAGAGCTGTTGGCACTGTCCTTGACATTGACTGTGGTCTGGTGGCTCTTGCCTCTGCCCAACCACTCACAAAGCACTACGGTGCATGAAGATGTCACCAGTGGCCATAAGTCCAGAGCAGGTGAACTTCAGCTTTTAAGTGACTTGAAGCAATGACTATAACATAATAAAATCTTACATCCCTAGGCACATTTGCTTGGGCATTAAACGAACCAAGATGATAACCCTTGTCCCAGTTTTTTTTTTCCAGTCCTGGAACAAAATCTCAAGGCCTTCTTATCCAACCTTCTTAGCTATCGGTCAGCTAGTCTTCTTTGGTGATTTCATCACGGAAGTCATCCTTTCCTGCTGACTTCTGCTACTTGCTGCTGCGGGCTAGGACAGCAGCTCCCAATGTTGGCACTAATCTGAAATATCCCGGAAGCTTCCAGTGTTTTCTGTGTATGAGTCTCACCTGTGGAATCATGATTCCATTCATCAGGGATGTGGCCTGGGACCTGGGATAGCTTAGAACTCCACAGGCAAGCTCTGTTGCCAGCAGAGCCTTCGAAGTCCTGAAACAGGAAATCTAACATCCACTCTATCAGGATTGTGCATCAAGCTGGAGTTAATAAGACCTAAGAGATTGTCCTATGGATAATTTATAGTGTATCGACCTTTTTGGCACATACAAAGGTATTTCAAATTGTTTGTGGAAATGGATTTAGAAAATAGAGGCTGACATTGTGGTGTGGTGAGTGAAGCCTGCAGTATCAACATGTCACCTGAATGCCAATTTGAGCCCTAACTGCTCCACTTCTGATCCAGCTATCTCCTAATGTACCTGTGAAAATAGTGGAAGAAGTTGCCACCACTGGGCAACCCTGACAGTGTTGCTGGGACTGGTTTCTCCATGGCCCAACAGAGCCATTGCACTCACTTGGGGAGTGAACCAGTAGATGGAAGAGCTCTTTCTCTCTCCAGCTCTAACTTTTCAATAAGGAAAATAATTATTTCTTTTATAAAACTAAGTTTATTTTGGCGCCAAAAAAGATGCTGAAATACAAGTATGATTTTTCCACAAGAGGCATTTTTCATGCACTCCTTAAAGTCCCTTCATATTGCACAACTCTTTGAGTCTGAATTTCTCATGCTGAACTATGATCTGGGCACATGATCTCAAGCTAGGAGAGGGAGGGAGAATGGATCAGTGATTAAGTGCTCAGAGTCTAGGGTTCAAGCCTTGAGTCTACTGTATGACCTTGGGCAAATGCCTCCACGTTTCTGTGCCAGGGCTCCATCAGTGAAGTGTGGAAAGGATGCAATGGGTTACTGCACAGAAAGGCCTGAGAAGCAAGCCTGGCACAGAATGCCACTGGAGGGAGTCTGGCAGGGCACAGAGCTTACTTCAGAGGGTCACAGTAGAGCCATCTCCGTGTCCACACAGAAGTGAGGAAATCAGCTGGGATGCTGCTCAGAGGTGGCTATCAGTGGGAAAGCTGGGACTGCTGGAGTTATGGAGAGACGCAGCGTCTGGAAGCAACATCCAACCTTGTTGCGTCAGGTCTCCTGCTGGCTGGATCCAGGGAGGAGCCAGGGCCTGGGACAGAGTGGGGGAGAAAGCAGTCCTCGGGAGACTCCTCCAGGGCACAGAGCCCCGCAGAGATGAGAAATGACCCAGGAAGATGGAGAGCACATGGAGGATTGCCAACCAGTCGGCCATACAACTCATGTCCTGAGCTGGGAGGCTCCAAGCAAAGTCCCCAATGCCTTCCAGTGGGGAGAGCTGTGCAGGGCACGGCTGGAAGACAGGAAAGAGAAGCACCCCCAAATCACAAAGGAACTTCCCCATCCTGGAGGGCAACGGAATTGGTTAGGGCTCCTCTCTGAACCCTCTGTTCACCTGCCCTCTCCCCCCCACCCATCCCATCTCCTTCCATTCCTTCCCTTAAGGATTCAAAAACAGACTCCTTGCTCGCTTCCTTGGCTAATTAAATTCCTGGGCTTAATTTACAGCCTTCGCTTGAGAATGTCTTCCTCCACCACTTCCCTGCCCCCAACTCATGAATGTTGACCTTTTGCCCAAGAAAGACTTCAGTCTTCCAACCTCCCACTATCTACTTAGCCATTTGGAGCTGTGCTTATGGTTCTGCTACAAAACCATGCTTGCAGTCTCATTATCTATCGGGCTCGGAGTGGCCTTGGTGGAGACAGACGTCCCTTTCTTCTTGTAGCTTCCAATCCCAGGGGAAGGGCTGCGAGGCAGGGCTGGGAGCAGCTGGCAGTCTCCCCGCAGAGACATCTGTGCAGTGTGGTACTTCCCTCCCTGTGGCTCTGCCACTTGTTCAGTGACAATAATTAACCTACAGATTCACCCGCACGCCTCAGCACTTCTCATTCTGTGAGAAGGTATCAGAGACCCTGCGATAACCCTACCCTCACCACAATCATTAGGGTTGTTTCGTTTTGTTTTTCCAGATCTTATGGCTACATATTCCTTTAACAGATTTAATCAAACCATTCATCCTTGTTACTCTGTTGCATTCTTTCCAAATTCCTCTGGACCCATGCCTTCCATCGCATTTGCACTCGGCTCTAACGATAGCTGTTATTTGCTCCTTGTCCGCTCAGAAGCCTGACGAAAATTACCACTGTGCTTGCCTGAGAAAAGGGCAAAGTGTTCCTGTTCCGCTCTCGGGACTTAGGTGCGCCATGCCAAAGGCTCAGGACCAGAGAGCTGAGGCTTGGGCAGAGAGCAAAGGATCAAGGCTCAGAGTCCTGGTGAGATGGACTTCAGATGGACCGGAAGCCTCAGCCGCAGACTTCAGGAGCATCCACACCCTGCGAAGCTCTGGCCCAGGCGTGAGCAACTCATTTAGTTACTTTGCCCTCAGCGATTTACTTTTCATGTGGGTAAACAGAGATGTCACAATGTGTGCACCTTCACGTGTGTGTGCATGCATGGACACACTCTAACATGCATCTCCAATTATGAACACTTGCATGGGATGAATGTCAATTAACTAGGGCATAAATGACAAGAACTAAATTGTACTTTCAAAGCCTGTATCCTTGGCATTTCTCTTTCTCAAGACTGCTTTTCTACCCAAGTAGAAATTGGTTCTTCACTAGTTTTCTTAATCTGTCCCTGATTCCATATGTACAATTTGGGTGGCTGAAAGATGTCTCCTGCTGGGAAAATGCTAATGAAGAAGGAATCCATTACAAATGAAATCTGAGCCTTGCATAGGACATCTTTTATGGTGGGTGTTGGGTGCAGCTCTTACCATGCTGCTTTACACTCCAGCAGCCCAGATCGGAGTGCCTGGGTGCATTTTCCTGTCGCGCCCACGTGTCTTACCGCCCAGCAATAAGACGCAGACGCGAGTGAAGCCTCCTGCGGTAAAATTTATTGTGCACACCAACATGAAGAGGAGGGACGCCGAACCCCGGCAGGCTTTCTGCTCTTATGTGCTGTCTGGCCCCGCCTCCGCCGATGATAGGTCGGCGTCATGATTACGCAGGGTTCTGGGCGACTGGATTCGTCAGTCCCAGTGTTTACGTGCCTGCCGCGCCGCAGCTCACTGCGCATGCGCTAGGCGCCTGCGCAGTACAGTGAATGCTACGTGACTCTGCACCAAACACCAAGATGTGGCTTTTCTGGCCGGCGCCATTTTGGGTACGGCATGTAGCCAGTACATGCAGATATGGCTGGCAACATTTTCCGGATTGACTCTCGCTTCTAGCATCCTGCCAACACACCCCCCAAGGCAGCCGTTGACAGCGCGGATGGTTGGATTTCCGCCACCCACATGGGACACATGGATGGAGCACTGGGCTCCTGGCTTTAGCCTGGCCCAGCCTGGCCCAGCTGCAGCTGTTGTGGCATTTAAGCAGTAACCCAGTGAACGGGAGATTGGTATCTATCTACACCTCCTTCCCTCCATCCTTCTCTATCTCTCAGCCTGTCAAATAAACTAAATAAACACAAATAGTTTCTAAGCACCTCCTCACCCAAACAGGAGCCATCCATCTGTAATCACCGTAAGATTTGCTAACCATCAGGAGAGGAACTCATCAGACTGATATAGAAAAGAATTCAGATGCCAAGGAACCTCGGTCACAGGTTTCCCTTCCCCATGTAACAGTAAGACAGATGTGAAGGAGAGAGCTACAGAGGAGCCAGGAAGACATGCAAGGGTGTTTGAAACCCCCCTTATGTGGAAGCTAAAGTGGGGGGTTGCTTCAGCCCTTTTTTGGTAGGGAATATTGGTTTGTGTCCATCACTGGTGCAGCAATGACCCCGATGTCTAAGGGGCATGCCAGAATACTGCAGCCTCCTCTGGTCACCATGGCAACCATCAATCACACCATCTGAGTCACCTCCATGGAGGTGAGGCTCCCTGGGTGATCAGAGTAATTTCTCAGGGAACAAGCTCTTATTGAGATGTATTCAAAGGTGCCTACAAGTCATGAGCTGTGCATGTCTACCCGCAGTTGGATGAACAATGCCCAAGGTGATTTGAATCTTGATAACAGTGACTCAAAAACCACAAATAAATGGCATCATGCTGAGTCACTAGCAGGACACAATGTGCTAGCAGGAAAGAGAGCAGCGGGCCTGATCAGAGGTGGGAACGAGGCCAGGCACAACCTGACCAAACATAACATACAGAGCCACACCTCAGCCCCAGTGGCACTGTGTGGCACCTGTCACCCCACAGGAGGCCCTTGCTTTAACAATGTAAATATTTCTACATCTTGTTTTTGTAGAAGCTCAACTAGTGAGGGATTATTCCTTTGCAAATTAACTCATTTTACCAGTCTTAAGCAAAAAGGGCCTGTGCTAGTTATCACCATTCGTCTTAAATTTCAACTTAATCTACATTATGAGAACGTATCTGTTAGCTAAGATAGATGCATGTAAGAAAAGGTAGCTAAGGAATTGCAGGGCAGTTTCATTCTCAATGTCACAATCTACATCATTCCTCTCCATAACCTTCACCTTGCCTTCCTCCTGGACGCAGCTCCCTCAAAGGAGGGAAATTAGGCAACAGTGAAGCAATAGGGGGGAGGTGACAGAGAGCTCTCTTTTCCATAGGCCAGCACACAGCTAATGATGCCTCTAATGATTTGTTAATAATGAAAATTACAGTACAAGTAGGACAGTGTTGCAACATAGTCCGCGATTCTGACTGTTGCAGGCACCCTTGATGCTTTCAAGGTCAAGAGAGTAAGGGAAAAAAAACCAGCTGGTTATGATGAACAGATAAAAAGAACACTGCAATATCTATGCACATAAACAAGGTTCACCCTTGCACACTGCGGAATGCACAATGAAGTGTGAACAGGATACAAGCCAGAAGCAAAGAGATGCTACTTCCCACTGCTCCTGAACTTCATTTTCAGCCAAGACCAGTGGAAGAGGCAAAGTCCCAACAACCTGAGGTTAGGATGGGAAGAAGGAAGCACACCTGTTAGTGTGGAAAATGGGAATTTTACTAATTCACGATCTTGAAACAAATGCATTGAAAGGGCGGAGGTAGAGTGGAGAATCGAACCATCGGAAGGGACAGCCTTCAGCCTCCTTGATGAACAAAGCTCTAGGCTTGCTACAGGGTGCAATTGAGATCATGCCAGACAAATCTAGGATGTATTAAGGAGTGTTTATTAACCAAGCTTTGTCATGGCAAGGTCCACTAGAAATTAGCAAATGAAGTCGTCATGGCAATCCAGTCTGCATTGAAACCCTGAGCAGAACAAATGGTCAATATCATGAAAAGCATCCTTTAAACCGAAAACCTATGTCCCAGCTTCCCCAGCAATATAAATTATCCTAAGTGACGTGCAGTGAACAGCCTGGGCCCTATCCTTGGATTCTGTTCACAGGAAACCAAAGAGCAAGCAGGTACGAGGGAGGCCAAGAGCTGGAGTGCAAGAATGACATAAGCAGGTGACCAAGCAGGTGGCCTCTCCCTTCCACAGGCCTTTACAGGGTGGGGGTGTATGTGAGGGGAGTGGTTATGCAACAATGCAGTGCCACCCCTCTCAAACTCCAGGTATTGATAGGTGAGCATCACAGGTGGGCAGGAAGGATCACGTAGGCAGGGGAGGTGTGACTTCCAAGCTCGTGACTCTAAACTAGCTGCCCAAGACCACAAGAGGCTCAGTCATTGTGACATTGGTGACACTGGCGTCACAGTGTCATGACTGCGTTTCCCCTTCCAAAAACAGGCCTGGGGAAAATGAAGCAGGTGACGCCCATGACTTTTTACATTGACATCTTCAAGCCCTGGGATGTGCTTGGTTAGGGCTTCCCTTTTCATGCAACTCCATGTTTTATCTGTCTGGAATACACCTGACTTCTTCTCTTTGGGGAGAGCTGCATTCCAAGAAATACAAGAGTATTTCAGAAATATTCAGGAAAAATGGAATTAAAACATACATTTGTTTTGGTGCTTATCCAAGGCAAGCACTGTGGTGGTGCCGCGTGTTAAGCCCCTTTGTGGATGACTGCATCCATATGAAAGCTCTGGTTTGAGTCCCAACTACTCTTCTTCGAATATGGCTTCCTCCCAATGCACCTGCAAGGCAACAGACAATGATTCAAGTAGTTGAATCCCTGCTACCCACAAGGGAGATCAGAAAGGAGTTCTTGGCTCTTGGCTTAGCCCAGGCCGAGCTATTGCAGCCCACTAGCGAACTGGCAAATGGGAGCCAGCTTTCTCTCCACCCCCACATCACTCTGCCTTTCAAATAAATAAATCTTTAAAAGTCGATTTTTTAAAAAAAATTCATACTTACAAAGAGTTTTGTAACAGTGCATGAAAGTGTGTATTGTGAAAAACTACCAGAATCTCAATTTTTGGCACCAGAATAAAGTTTTTCAATGTCACTTAAAGTATACAAGAGCTCAGGTGCACCTGCTAACTGTTAAGACCAGGTGCAGCTATATCACCGAATTATCCAATCATTTTGCAACACAGGCTGGCACAGTCTGAGCAGGTTCCTACGTCCTACTAAAGGCTGCCAAAGACTAGGTAGACAGTGCCATCAGGTCACCTGAATGTCCAAGGGCGAGTCAACAGAGAATGCTCAGGCCACTCAAGGAATTGTCTTTACTTGCGAGGTTACCTCAGCTCACACAGCACTGTCATCCGACTCGCCATCCACTCTCAGTTCCCTTCTCTTGTCATCTCACCTGCTGCTTCCTTCACTACACAGCCAGTTAACATACAGCACCTCCCAGGAGTCTTCAGGCAATTCTTTTTAACTTCTTTCTTGAGATCCCTGAGTATTTCCTTGGAATTGTCTGCCCAGTTAGAATGGAAATGACGAATGCGGGTGACTGTGTCCAAGGTGAATGAACTTTTCCCAAGCGCTTTGTCAGCAAGGTGACTTCACCTCCTTGAATCAGATGATGGCACTCAAGCAATTGACCTCCCGTCCCTTGGAGGTGACACTCCTGGGGGACATTGCTCTCCAAGAGTACTCCCTGCCTCACAGCCACGGCTCTGTAATTCCGATAAACCGAGTTCATTCAAGGTCTCCAGCAATCCTGAAAGTACTTATTTATTTGAGGTAGATAAGTGTTGCTTTCTTCCTAGGAGGGGAGGAAACGCCAAGGGCTCCGGATGGCTGGAGATTCTAAGTCAGAACATTGTGAAGACAAGTTGGAATCCTTGGCGCAGGCAGCACAGGAGGAGGAGGGAGCAGCCCTCGGAGCCCTCATTCAGAGCTGCCGTAATTCTAGCTCCCTCTAATAGCAGTTAATCACAGCTTACCATTTGTAACCCGAGGGTCATGCACACTGAAGCCTCATTCATTAATTGAAGTCAACAGAATGCTAAGAGTCCCAGAGCAAGCCAGCCTTCCACCAGGGGAGTGTTTCTCCTTGTTTATCAATGAGGGAGTGTTTATTCATTTTTATGACTTACTCTGGGTTTCATTCAGAAGTAAATATATTATTCTAAAGAACATCCTTGGAGGGAAAAGGCGACAGCCTTGTAGCAAGCTTTATCTCTGTACTTAACTTGGCACAAACCAACTAGCCAGTGTGAAGCGTTTACCATCTCATGACCTGAATTTACCTTTGGGAAGAAAACCACCCTAACACAGGAGGGCAGCTACAATTCTCTCAGTCCCCTTCCCAAACATTATCACAGCTCTCTAGTTAGCCTGAGATGCCACAGAAGGCCAGAAACTGATTATTGCAGCTGTTTGCAGCAGCAAGACTGAGGACATAACCAGCCAGATACCAGATCGGAAGTACAGGAGCCACACTCCTTCGGCAGGTGGGAGACCCCAGGGCCGAGCCCTCAGTGTCCTTACCAGCTTTCTGCTCCAGCCCCAAACCTTCACCAGCCACTCAGCTCCTTGTAAATGTCTTCGATTCACTCAGTGGCAGTTGTGCTCAGATGCCTGGGTCTGCATTAGATGTGTTAAAGATGGAAGGGAACAGACATTTTATGTGATAAAAAAAAAATTCGTGGAGGTGGACTTTGTCTTGCCACATTCACAAATGCTAATTTTAAGATTCACCTTTATTGAAATGTCTTAGAAGCAATTAAAAGTCCTTTTCCTAATTTCAAATGGATTGTCTCTGTAGCTGGGGTAAGAGCTAAGACAGTTTATGGTGCTATCGACTGAAACAGAAATGTGCCATTTTCTCCCCAACACTGGCAAATTCCACAGCATGAACAAGCAACAGTCACAATTCACTTTTATCTTTCATACCTAGATGCATTATTCCTCTTGTACTTTATCTCTTTTATAAGTGTGTTGACTCCTAGGCTTACTTCGATTAACAAATATTCAATTTAAAAAAAAAAAAACCCTGACCTGATCATTTTAGAATCAGAGAATAATTCAGTATAAGTTAGCCGAAAAACTATTTTTCTCTACCATGTTCAACAACATAACAACTGCTTCTGTTGCAAGCAGGTTTCATGTAAATACGCTCCCTGTTTTTTCTTCTGCGGAATATTTCAGTTAGTCTCAAAGAATTACAGCTGAGATTAAAGAGAGATGAGCTGCTCAAAGAGCAGCCTCCAGTTTCCGCATTCCAGGTTACACACCTGGGAAGTCCAAAAAACAAAATTGTACCCTAGTCCCAAGCTGAACAGACTCTCCAGCGCTGACCAATTCATAACAGACACTTGCATCACCTGTAGAAATTGGACAAGATGTGTTGTGTCAAAAGGTCAGGTGGGACCCAGGAAGAGTAGACCTGGAAGTGACAGCGTGAGAGTTACTGCTTTGCTTTATCTGTATTTGCTCTTATCTGTATCTGAGAGTGACAGCAATCAGTTGAGACACGCTTAGGGAATCCTACAGAGCATCCAGTTTATGCAAACCACAGTAGACTGGAATAGGCAATCAGGTGGGCATGACTGTCTCCTGGTGTTGGCCTGCACAGGAAGTGACGCTATAAGCGAAAGCAGAAACTCCTTGTTAGTTCACCTTGACTGTTGTCATAAGCAACAGAATGCTGGGGCTTCCTGTGTTCCCCTGTAGAACGCCAAGGCGTCAGCAGGTGGGCGCGGCACCCCTGGATCACAGCAATCCCATGGATGCCAGTGGAAGTTAAACTCGCGTGTCCCTCTGATGGTGGAAATAATCTTGCCAGTGAAGGCGAAAATGGTTAGAGGCCGGCAACCTCACTGCCAGTCCAGGTTTTTCTTCACTAGAGAGGACCTGGGTGTACTACAATATTGTCTCTAAGATCAACCTTTTGGACTGTGCTTTTCTTTCTTTTTTTTTTTTTTAAGATTTATTTATTTTCATTACTAAGTCAGATATACAGAGAGGAGGAGAGACAGAGGGGAAGATCTTCCGTCCGATGATTCACTCCCCAAGTGACCGCAACGGCCAGTCCTATGCCGATCTGAAGCAAGGATCCAGGAACTTCTGGGTATCCCACATGGGTGTAGGGTCCCAAA